GCGGCCACTGCACTCCTGTCTGGGCGACAGAGTGAGACTCCAACTCAAAAAACAAACAAACAAAAAAACGAAAACTAGAGAATAACATATAGCTAACATTTCTCCCCAGTTTGTTGGACTGTTGCTGATTTTGGATATTATGCTCAGATTGAATTATTTGGTCAGAGAAGGAACTGTCATAAACTTTTACAAAGTAACTTATTTTGAAGGTAAAAGGTGAACAGACATTTTCATCTTTATAAAAGTGAAATATTTCCTCACATGAAATTCTTTTTTAGATTTTATAGGAGGGTTTGGGGTCTGTCAGGACTTTTCAGGGAGCCGAGGTATAAAAGTATATAAAAAGTATATATGAAGTACCTTATTTTCTCTAGCCTTAGCTTGTCATCTTAAAGTGGCAATGATAATCTTGTGGAACTGTTATGAGAATGAAATAAAATAAGGTATATAAAATGTCAAGGCCTTGGTAAACACTAGCTCTCCTGAGTGCTCACTCAAGCAAAAATCCCTAAGGATTGAAGGGTGTTGTGCACATACCGTCTCAGAATGACTGGCACATTGCCATTCTTTTGGAACATTTCTTATGATCTGGGACTAATCCCACAGCTCCCCTCCACACGCCTCCACATCACTGTCAACTAGAAGGTATGAGAGTTTTAGAATTCTGCCTCTGGCCAAATCCTAACTCCCTAGCTCCTGAGCTCCACTACTCACTGCATTGTTACCGTTAATTGTCTTGAGATCATTTGCATTAATGACATTAGACCATTTATCTCAACTTGTGTCAGTCACTTCAGTAATGTTAGATTTTTCTTAATTTGCCAGACTTATCACATATGACTGTCATCCACTGTTTGACTTCATCTTCCACCGCTTTGTAACTCCTGAAACCCTTCACTGTGCTCTTGGAACATAGTCGATCATCAGGAAAACCCACATGTCCTTAATTCTTTTTTGAACATTTTGTTCACTTTCTTACTCTAAGAGAACCTAAGCTTCCTCTCAGGTAACCACTCTCTTCTCTTCCATGTCTCTCATCCTAATCTTAAAGTAGGGTAAGTGTCCTGTTTGTGCCTCATTTCGACTCCTCAACCATCTCTCTTTCTGACCCCCCCAGCTTTTAATCTCATAAGCGTATACCACCTTCTGCTCTCTTTACTCTTATCATCTGTAGACTCCTAGACCATTTGCTGTCAGTTCATAAACATTTAGCTCTTCTTCTCTTTCAGTTTCCTCAGTATTAACCTTCTCATTTCTCATAATCCTGAGTGATTTCAATATTCGTGTAGCTAATCCTTCTGTTACTTTCAGTTCCTGAACCTCTCCTTCTCTATTTGACCATAATATCTACCGACCTCAGCCACTTATTTCTATGGGCATAACATTGATCCTGTTATTACTAATTGCATCCCCTCCAAAATCTTGTTTGTATGTATTCTGTCTTCTGCCACCATTATCTCCTTTGTTTCTAACTCACCTTCTCAAGTATCCCCACGCAGACAGTTCTCTACCCCACCAAGACTTCAGTTTGTTGATCCTACCACTTTTGTGCTGTCCCCATAGTCTCATTCTTATTTCTGTCTTTATCTAGGTGAAGTTTTGCTCCTTTGCCTGTCCCTTACATCCACATACTTCCCTGGCAAAATTCCTGCCATGGTTAAATATAACTTTACCTGCTGTACATTTGCACCCATGTGTTTGAAAGTTCCCAAAGAGAAACCGTGCAGACTGATATCACTGTAATTCAATGTCTACTGAACCTATGATGCTATCACACAATCCCAGTCCACTTCTTTAGTTCATTTGCATATTTACTTTATCTTCATGTAGCTCAAGGGTCTGCTATCTAGGAGATGACTTGCTCACATTATCTTTCTCTCAAACCTTCAACACATCTTCCTTGGTTCCATTCTTCTTCTTCTTCTTCTTCTTCTTCTTTTTTTTTTTTGAGTTGGAGTATCATTCCGTCACCTAGGCTGCAGTGCAGTGGCATGCTCATGGCCACCCTAGCGTCGATCTGCTAGGCTCAGGTGATACTTCTGCCTCAACCTTCCAGGTAGCTGGAACTACAGGCTTGCACTACTACACCCGGCTAATTTTTTGATTTATTGTAGAGACGAGGTCTCACCAAGTTGCCCAAGCTGATCTTGAACCCATGGGCTCAGACAATCCTCTCACCTCGGCCTCCCAAGTACTGGAATTACAGGCTTGAGCCACCGTGCCTGCCTGGTTCCTTTCTTAACTGATTTCCTTATGTTCTGCTTCACTGAGACAATGGAAGCAGTCATTAGAGAGGTTTATAAGCTCTTGTCATCACTTCTACCTACCCTTCTTCATCTGTGCCCATCTACTCTTACTTGGGATGAATATTTTGTGTTTATATCTAAGACAGCCACTTCACTTGTGCTGTGATCCTACTTTCTGTCACCTACATCACTCCAGTTGCTCTCTCCCCTCTTTATTGTCTTTGTTTCTTTCTGCTGTTTCCTCCCTATCACTTTACAAATAGTCTGTAATTTCTTTCATCTTAAAAATACAACTTTGACTCTACATCTCTTAAACATACTTCATTTCTTCATAGCAAAACTCCTTTAAAAAGTTTATTCTAGCCGGGCTCGGTGGCTCAGCCTGTAATCCCGTGCCTTTGGGAGGCTGAGGTGAGTGGATTGCCTGAGCCCGCGGGTTCGAGACCCGCCTGGGCAGCGAGACCTCATCTCTACAGTAAATCAAAAAATCAAAGCCGGGCTCGGTGGCTCAGCCTCTAATTCCGTGCCTTTGGGAGGCTGAGGTGAGTGGATTGCCTGAGCCCGCGGGTTCGAGACCCGCCTGGGCAGCGAGACCTCATC